TGTCCCCAGGCGAGACTAAGGCCTTCGATGAGCCGAACTTTTCCCCTCTGCTGGTTGCCTTTACGCTAACGGGTCATACTTGAAACGTGTGAGTGCTTAAAGGCAAATAGCAGGATAAATAGGATTAACACACCTAGTGGGACAGAATTCAGCGCCCCTAAACCGGGGCTGCGCGACGCATTTTCCAAGGAACGTACCCTTATAACGCCCTATCAAGCTGCAACATACCGACCCGGACGCCCACCGCGCCCGCCCGCCCACAAATGGACGACCGTACCTGATGCTCGTATTGCTTCATTTGCGAAGTACATATGAAGCGAAGGGATTGATATGAAGCGGCTGGGATGCTGTATGGAAGTATGAGTACATACATACATGCAGATGTATCTACCCTAGCGGTTACTGGCACGATACCGTCAAGAACCTCTTCAAAAATTGCTTTATGAGTCTCAAACAGAGGCTTGTTTTCACTGGCAGCCCTCTCACCATTTCAGGACCTAGTACCAAATTAGTATGCCTTATGCCTTTCAGGCCGGGACATATAGCCATTAAGCTGGGATGGGGATAAGAGGCTCGGGTGGCGCAGCCGACAGCTCACACGCCCGACATAAGAAACGTACCAAAACCGCTGTTACGTGATTAAGATAAGTATATGAAAGGAGAATGAATACGATATATATTACAGAAATGGAACACCTGATCTACCTATATTCACGTAATCAAAAGGGTTTTATCAGAGTATTCCAGAGTAGTAGAGGCAACGTCTCCTAAACATTCAAACCTGCCTACGGAGGCCCACTAGAAGAACTACAGGAGTGCAGAATATGGGCATGCCGTTTCGAGTACCAACAACAAGCTGTCAATGAATTTCAGAGACCACATGGCATGCACTGTCTGGGCACTTTATGAAGGGTGATAAACAACAGCCAGACGGTTAATTTAATCTCGAGTTTTATTATTAACACTATTACTCTTGGTCACAGAGAGCTACTCAGGAAGAGAAGCCCCTCAAAGTTTTTTCTTCATTATAGACTCCGAGCAGAACACGCCATGGCGACGAAGGAAAGTCTTTATTTTCGTTTTTTATCTTTCGCATCCGGAGAGCAGAACTTATG